GTGCAACAATGAATTAATGGAAATCCAAAGTCTCATTAAAGTAAAATAAAAATTAAAATTAAAAAAATTTTCAGTCTTATAAACAAATAGAGAGAAGTTCTAATATACTCTAAAGGAGAACTATGTCTAAGTTATATGCCTTTGTTTTACTATGTCTTATTGTGAGTCAGAATGGACTCAGCAGCAGCAAATTTAATTTAGAGTTTTATTCCCTCAGAGATACAGAAGACAATCAACTTTTGTTCTTATCCTACATAAGAGTAGTAAGTTTCCCCCAGAAGCTCACAGGGTAATAATGGAAGACATAAGCAAGAAATCATAATAAAATGTAGTAAAGTCAATCATGGAAATTTTAGCTCAGGGAATATTAACTCTTTTGGATATATGGAGTATAAGAACTCTCCTCAGAGAAGCCCTTGTACAAGAGATCATTCAAAGTGAGCTTTAAAGAGTCAGTGGTAGTTAGCAGGTAAAAAACCGGGTACTAATAAAAAGAAGAATGGATTGAATATTAACAAGAAGCAAACAGGAAATAGTTAAAGGATGGGCTTGAAAGAGTCAAATTAAAGACAGTTAAAGACATGTTCATTTGTTTCAGTATGATAAATGATGAAGAAATGAAACAGAACACTGAAGGAAGCATAAAGAAAAAGTAGTTACAGAAATATTTAGAAACTCAATTGTCAGGACTTGATAGTATTTAAAGAATAAGGGAGTCAGAGTTTGATGATAAAGGCTTTCCCCCATTTTCTTGGAAACCTAGTTAAAATGCAATGATACAACAGAAATACAAACTTTCAGAAATGCTTATTTAAAAGGGGAAGATGGATTGTTAAAATTTGAGTATCTCAAATTTTAAGTGTCCATGAGCATTCAGGACTAAAAGTTCCTAACAAATAATTGTATAAAGACCTCTGAACCTTAGGAGAAAAATCTAGGGTTTTGGTTAAATCCAGCCAAGGGATTTTAAAAATCATCAATTAGTAGACAATTAAATTTAAGCCTATAAGAATACACGTTACTACTCAGAGAGAAGATATAAAATAAGCAGAGAAATAATGATGGAATTCCTAGAGTTTAAGAACTAGTCCAAATAAAAGTTCAAAAAGGAAAGCTCTGGTGGCCTAATGGCAAGAAGCTGCACTGCAATCCCAGAGGCGCACGGTTCGAATCCACCAGATACTCTGCCAAGGAAGAAGGGGAAATCTCCTCCTGTACCAGTCAGATCTGATTTGACGGTACACACACACTAATAATAATAATAATAATAATAAAAAAAGAAGGTCCCATTCAAAAAGGAAAGCTAAAAGGGGCAACTAAAGTTATGCATGATAACCAGGAAAAAAGCAAAAGCAAGGATAAAGTAATAAATAGTGTAAAAACATTACAATGACTTAAAAAGAAGTCATTTGATCACAAATAGGGTAGTTCTTGTATCAACCAACTGTTAAATTGATTTAACTTCAATGTTGATGTCAACTATTAAGCTTAACTGCTAAGTTGAAACTATCTTTATCTGTGGCAATAACTGGTTACAATCTGATCTGACCGAAACAATAGAAGGTGAAGCTGTAAGTAAAGCAGATGCAGAAATGACACTTAACGAAGAAGATAGCAAGATATGGGAACAAGGGCATGACTGCAAGCAATTTGTGTGAATAGGGATTGTATACCAATGAAGGACTTTATCTTTTACTTTTCAGAGAGAAGAGCTAACTGGGGAGGAGGGCTGGGCAGGGAGAAATGTGCAACAATGAATTAATGGAAATCCAAAGTCTCCGTATATATTCATTAAATTAATAAAATAATTTTTTTTAGAAAGACTTTTCCTTCTGAGATAAGAAAGTGTAAAAACATTCAGTTTATCACTATGTAGGATGGAAGCTATGAAAGTTCAAACTTGAATATCCTCTATTTTATGTAATTGGTAGAAAAGAAGGTTTTTATTAAGATTCTTAAGTCATCAGTATTGATGGAAAGTGCCAAGAAAGTAGATAAATAACCACAAAGGGTGGTGGGGGTTTAGTCAGATGGTATTACTTGAGAATCTTGGTATTTAAAAAAAAAAAAAAAAAGAGTGATTTCAACTGGAGAGGGTCTCTAGGGAACTACTGTCTGTGGGAAAAATGAGATTTCAATTACATAAGGGAGTTGGAGATGATTTGAAATCAGATTTCAAAAGAAGAGAGGAAACAGAATTTGGAGATGAACTGTGCTGAAGATGAATTAATTGGTGGAGAGGAATGAGGCACAATGGAACTCAAAGCTCTAAGAGAAGCAATGAGTTTCAGAGGAGGAAAGAATAGGCAAACCAGGGCTGGGCATGTGCCTTTTATACATTGGCCAAATATCACAGACATGTCCGGAAGAAACTGCTTATGAACTCTCATTCATAGCTTTCCATGTGTTCTGTTATTCAATCGTAAATGTTAGGTACTAGAACTAGATCCTACACAAAACAAATATGGTTTGGTGCTTTTGGAGTTCACAGCCTTATATAATTATTATATCTTTAAACTATTCAATAATGTGTACTTATTTACATTTTATCTAGTGTGAAGATTTATCTTTACTTGCATATGTATATAGATATAGATGCTATAGATGTATCTTCTCAGGTAATAAGAAAGCAAATGGTTATGCTTTGTATGGGAAGTTTCTATGTATGGAAACATCCTTCCAAATTGTGTTGTTATGTGTTTGTTGTGTGCCATAAAGTCAGATCCTTTGGTGGGTTTTCAGAGGCAGTTAATCGTGTGAGAGGAGATTGACCATTCTTCTTACATGGAGCAGCTGGTGGCCTCAAATGCCTTGGGGATCGCAGCACAGCTTCTTGCCACTAGGTCACCAGAGCTCCATATAGTCTGTTTAATAACCACAAAAATAATGAGTAGTAATTACTGGGAAGATGATTTAGTAAAGAGCACCTTCAATTACACTAAATGCATGTGAAAATTGGACAAGAAAGACTAAAGAAGAATGTCTCTGAATTGTGGGCCTAGGGATCACCAAAAGAACAGTGTAGTGTGGAGGATTTCTTGTTCAAAATGGCTTTCCTAGCCATTGACTTTGACATTGTCACATGGAGGGGCAGGATTGTACAAACAGGGTATACTAGCCTATCTAGTGGCCTCGTGGCAAGAAGCTGAGCTGCAATTCTGAAGGAACACAGTTCGAGGCCACAGTTGCTCCATGAGAGAAGGATGGGCAATCTCCTCCTGTGCAATTAATTTTCTCTGAAAATCCATCAGAGGGTCAGCTATGGGGTTGGTTCTGACTCTACGGTACACAACAACACAACAATAGTCTATCTAAAAGGGAATTAGCTAGTCTCATCATTCCATGAAGTTTAAATCAAATAGATTCAGAAGTTGGGCCTCTCAATACCAACAAGAGTTTACATCCCTAGCAGCCAGAGATTCTTCTACTCCAGTCAGACTAAGAGCAACAGCAGTTTTAGCAGAGTGCCAGAGACCAAGCCAAGACAGAGCTGACTTGAGACTGCTCCCCCACAGAGCCAGAGCCAGAGGCCTTCACCCAAGCTTGCTGGAGGGCTGAGGGAAGACTCCATAACTGGTAGGACTAACACTGGCCCCAGCCATACGACCAAAGGTCAAAGGGCCTGTGACCACACTTGAAAAGCTATCTGGACTGAGGGACTGCTACTAACTTGAATTATAACCTGTTAACGTCCCAAATGAACCTCACAGCCATATGGTTTTGAAATCTGTGCAGTCACTGCAGTGGATAACAGGCCTAGTAAGTAGGAAGCTCTGGTGATTTACCAGTAAGGAGTTACACTCCAAAAACCAAAGGTTCATGGTTCAAATCCACTTGTTGCTCTTTGGAACAACAATGGACGATCTCCTTTATGCAATTTATTGCCTCTGAAAACCACATAATGGTCAGCTATGTGTCAGTTTTGACTCAGTGGCACACAACAATGACAAGACGTAATTACAGGAGCATGAGGGAGCACATCTGACCTTACAGAAATTTCTTTTGTACTCTGAATGCAGTCGATATAGTCTCCCTTTATGGAATAAGTAGTGTTCAGACTTGGCCATTCTCATGCTGCCTACAATAATTTAATAAACAGACAAATCTGACTCGGAAAAGTATCTATTTGCAGACAGAGCTCTCTTTAAAATATTTTTTTTCACATACGAATTCATCTGGCATGTTGTCAGGAGGGACTAGTCACTGAAAAAAGATACCCTGGTTGGCAAAGTAGAAGGTCAAGCAAAAAAAGGAAGACACTAAATGAGATGAATTAACACCGTGGTTACAATAGGTTTAAGCACAGTAGAGATTATGAGATGTTAAGGATTGTGCAGGGTTTCCTTTTGTTTCCCACAGGGTCACTATGTGTCTCAGCTGACTTGATGGCACCTAAATAAAGGAATTTACATTTTGTTGGTGCTTTTTAAATTTCAAGATAAGCTGCACTTAAGAGTCTATACAAAGTGCAATCATAATTTTATAATGGAGCTGAATGTACCAACATGCATAGATATCTCCTAATTCTGAATCCATACCTACTATAGAATAGATACAAATAGAAAAGTACTATACAATCTCAGGATGAATTCCATTTTTTTACCTGCTTCTTCTTTTTTTTATAAGAATTTTTTTAATTTTATACTGATTTACTTACAATGATCATGTATGTTGTTTTTTACACCGTATCTTTCCCATTTCCTTAATCCACCCTCCCTCCACCCATCAAATTGTGTGATTACCTATGATTACACTCTCCCATCCTCACCCCTCTGTTCTCACCATCCCGCACCCCACCCCTGCTCCTCATATACATTTTTCTAGTCATCTGCTTCTTGATTACCTTTCTGTTACTGTTTATTTAATGTATATCTTGTGTCCTAGCACAAAACACAGTTCCTGAAATACCATAAGTATTCCATATGTAATTAATGAATTTATGAGTGTATCAATTAACAAATGAAAGAAAAGCAGAAAATGCCACAAAGTCTGCCCTTCTTTTGTAATGAAATGCAATGGTAGAAACATTAAGTGCACAGAGTTAGAAAACTTAGCCTATAGTGATGTGTGCTTCTTCGAGAAGCAAAGCCTAGACTTACCAAACACGTTAAGACTGAAACTTTTGCTTTTGTCCCCAGCTGTGTTAGAAGCCAGACAGGTGTATCTGCCAGTGTGTAGTACTTGGGCATTAGTGATTTGAAGAAAACGACCCCCAGATATAATGTGGTGACTGTCATCTTCTTGGAGGAGCTGCCCATCTTTGTGCCATGTTATTTCTGGTACTGGATTCCCTTTAAGAAAAAAAAAAAAAACCAAGCAAAGAACAAAACAACCAAACAATCAGGTCTGAGAATTGACAAACAATTACATTTATAGTTAGTAAACAATGAAAAAGGATGTTTTCACTCATTTGTGTTTCTTACATATCTCATTTCTTAAACAGCATGGCTACTTTAATTTAAAAATATAATTTCAAATATAGACTCTTTTATGGTATTAATAGTTACACTACATTTAACATTGCTAAACCAACCCCCATAGCCACCTGGATAGAAATTATGGTTGAGACTTAGAATCAACTGTTTAAATTCTGGGTACAGGGAGATGGGATAAAATTTCAAATTAGGGCATTCAAAAACTTTAAACTGATAAATCTAGAAGGTCATTATCAGACTAAGAAAAGGCCTGAGAACTGCTGGATGATCTTCAAATTCAGTGAAAGCATGATATAAAATATCAGGCAAAATTGTGAATAATCTGGTTAAGTAATTTTGAAATTCCTTCCACAGAGTCAACCTACAAAGAGCAGAAGAAGTTTTTGTTGTAATCATAATTTAATTTCTGTAGCTGTTACTATTCATGAAAATCTTTGTGAATACATTGACTGAGATACTTCAGTGACTGTGCATGATAATAAATACAGTTTTCTGGATGTGGGGTGTGGGAGGGGCCTGAAAAGATAACCTACAGAATGAGAGAGATTTGCAGATTGTATATCTAATTAGAGTTGTTGTACTGAATTAAAAGACGTAGCCATTTGCTCTTCATCACCGCAGAATCTTTGATAATTTCCACTTGAATTCTGTCAGCTACATTAGAATACAATTTCAAATGTCGATCATAATATAGCTGTATTTAGCTACTGTTACAGTCACTATGAATCAGATTCTGCTACTCTGTGGCAACAGGTTTGGTAACTGCTTTATTAAAATAGCTTGAACTTTTCCAACTAGTTAAGTCATACAGATAGAGGCAGTGAATAATAATTAGTGGAAGAAACAGCAGAAATCTGAGTGTTGAGTCCTCATACCTGTTACTTCACAAGTCAGTGTGATGTTTTGTCTCTCTTTCACTTTCACGTCTTCCAAGGTGTTCTCACCCACAATATGAGGTGGTACTAAAAGCAAAACATAGAAAAAGGAAAACCTAACTCCAAAACCAACATTTTATTTTTATAGGCATCAAACTTTATTTTAATTAAGGTATAAAATCAAAGTCCAAGCCCTAAATTTTCATTTATTGTCTTTTTACTAAAATAATGCCATAATATTAATATGGTCAAGTCTGATTATAAGATCTATAATAAGTTATTATATTCGAATAAATATTATCATAATAAAGTCTAGATAAAAACTTATCAGCAACTCAATGTGGAAGACATTTATTTCCTCTACTATAAGTTCAGTGGCACTATTGTAACTTATTAGGCAAGGAGTTGTGCTATCAATTCAAAAGTTAGTGGTTTGAATCCACCGGTCACTCTCAGAAGAGAGGAGCAATTTCCTCTCTTGTAACTTACAGCCTCTGATAACCTGCCGGAGGATCAGCTATGACCTGCTTCTGACTTGGCATCAATATACAACTCCAATACACACTCAAATTATTCAGTGTTTCAGAATGTTGTTTAATGAAATGGCCGTACATGACATTTCAGCAAATCAGGCTGTCTTCAAATTAGTCTAACATTGAATTCTTGCAAAATGTGAATGTCAAAAGGCCAAAAAAAAAAAAAAAAGAGGCACATCTCAAACTTTCAACTCTCCTCCCAGAAACGATTTGAGCTGATTAGAATCTTTTCTAGATATTGCAAGTCATGTAAGTACCTAACACTGAAAGTTCAAAGAGTTTTCTTTCTTCACCAGCTGTATTTCTCACGACACAAGTATACTGGCCAGCATCTTCTATTCTGGTCTGCATCAATCGCAGAGTCCTGCCTCCTGAAGAAACAAATCACCAAATGACTTACAGAGAAAATGAAATTTTCATAAGTTGTTCAAGTGATACAGAGTTCAAATAATTGAACAATACATTTAGATATTAATGTATGCCAAATTTTAAGCCTATAAAGCAGACTAGATAACCCAGAAGAATTTGTTTTGCTTCAGTGGAAAAATACAGTTATAATAGCAACAGAGTAAGTCCAAGAGCTTCATTCGATATGCTTCTCATGGCTTGTTAATTGTTGTCCTATCTTGCAAGATTGTATCATAAAATTGTTTTTCATTATTAATTGCATTTCTATATGGCCTACTGCTAAAGCAGCAATAAATCCCTAAAGAAAACATGTTAAAAGTATTTCTAGGGACAGGTAAAAATAAGGGTATTTTTGTTAAAAATATCCAATATAGTCATAAATTCATTAAATTTCAGATCTCTTTTTAAGGAGGCTGATGATATGTATGTGTATGGTAATTTTTAATTAAATTCTTAATTATCTGATGCTGATGTGTCAAATGCAATAATGGTTACCCATCGTGGGCAGTGTTTGGTGGAGCTCCCTATTAAAACAAGCTTGGAAGCAAAAGTGGCATCCATTTCTGAAATAGCTTGCCTTTGGAAAGTCTGTGAACTTGGAGAAATGATGGAAGTTATACAAGTGTTCAGGTCTTTCATTCATAGGGTCACTATGAGTTGTCTATGACTCGACAGCACTTAACAACAACAACAAAAACAAAAATAACAATAGCAACAAAAGAATTAAAGACAATACTGGATGACAACAAACAGAAACAGATTTACATAGATTCTTTTTAAACATAATCTTAAAACAAAAGTATATTATAATACACAGAAGAACTAAGGGAAGCCAATCTACGTTAAATGACCAAGGATACAGAGATAGAAGGATTTAAGTAATGATATCTGAAGCAGAATAAAGAAATGGTAAATTAAGATGAGTAGAGATGACCCAGAGTCTACACATTACAACAATGACCTTAGGTTTTATTATGTTCACTAAAGTATGTGAAAAGTCACAGTCTGACTTTTGCTTTAGAAATGAGACTGAGTAAGATAGGTTCAATAATGTATACTGCACTGAAACAGAGGAGGAAAAAAACTGTTTAAAAGAGATATGTGACTAGGTATTTCTGTCATCACAGGAGTCTAGAGCGAGGGCTACATGGTGGAGGGGACCTGGGGGAGGATTTGCAAAACAATGAAAGAATCTTTTCTTTTACATTTCCATAATTTTTGACTCATGTACTTATAACTTGTTAGTTAAATTTGTGTCTTCTAGGTTGCAACACCCCCATGATACATCTTCAAGGATATGAACATGTACGGCCAAGCACAATCAATAAGAGTGCATCTAAATTCCAAAATCAATCTCCATAATAGTCTATGTGTTTCCTACTGCCAAAGGGGCCCTTTAGAGTAGTGAGAGAAGATCTTCACCCTGAAACCCACAGCGTCCCTTTTCAGCAGGAAGTAGCTAAGAGAATACACCATCCCCTTTTCCTTATGAATCAGGGTGAAGTCTCTCTCAGGGAGGAGTGATAGGGAATGGCAAAGGACACACCGACAAAGGAGATTAATCAGAACTGACTTTGACAAGCACTGTGGCAATTGGACAATTAAAACAGACATTCGGATGGCGGGGAAGAAGAACAAACGGGAGGAGGGTAGAGAGAATGGTGCAGCAATGAAGGAATGAAAACCCAAAATCCCTGTAAATGTTCATTAAAACTAATAAAATTTAATAATAATAAAAAAAAGAAATAAAAAAAAAGAAACACAATTGTGGCAGATGTATAGGATTACTAGTTTAGTACAATCCTGATCTAGGTGACAGCAACGTGGATGTGATATGTGTAGGCATAAGGACTGCTTATTGTTTTTTTTGCTTTCGAATGTTTCATGGTGTTCCAGAATTAATATTTATAAAAGTTAATGATAATCTTTACTAGTATGAATGCTTTCTATTCTTTATACATTTGGACTTCTGTGTTATGTCTATGTTTGAGGAAATAGTCTTGAACCAAAAAGACTATGCAGACTGAAAGTGAAATTATAGCATGATAAAATATGGAGGTTGGAGTCTCCATTTAAAAAACAATAGAAGAGTTCTTTTCTTGTCACATTCTCTCCAACATTTAGTACTTGCTGTCCTGTTAATCTCTGCCACTGCCAGCGGTGTGAGACTCTTATACACTGTTGATGCGACTGTAAAATGGTACAACCATTTTCAGTACAACACTGAAAGGCAGTTTGGCACTTCCTCAAAAAGTTGAATATAGGAAATTCCTATGACCCAGCTACTTCATGACTTGGAATATACCCTGAAAATATCAGAACTGAGAAACAAATGGAGACTTGTACACCAATGTTCATAATAGAGTTATTCACTGTTGCAAGAACATGGCAACAGCCCAAATGTCCAACCACAATTGAATGGATTGAGAAATTATGGTACATTCACACAACAGAATACTATGTAGCTTGCAGGAGAAATGACTTTGCAAATTACTACCTAACTTGGGAGGGACTGGAGAGCATTATGTTAAGTGAACTAACTCAGCCCATAAGGACAAATACTGTATAAAATCATTATTGTAGAATGAGTATGAGGATTCAAGTGGGAGGAGAGTGGGAGCAGAGAGAGAAGGATGGGTGCGGGAAGGGTAGTGTTAATTATAGGGTCACACAATTTGGTAGGTGGAGGGAAGAGTGGGAAAAGGAAATGAGAAAGAACAATGTACATGAACTTTATAAATAAATCAGTATAAGATAAAAAAATGAAGGAAAAAAGTTAAGCTAAAAAAAGAACAATAGTAGAATGAACAAATGAACCTGAAACACTCTTCAGAGAAATAAGTGTGAAGAAATAATATGAGGAGTAAGACTAAGAAAAAAAGAATATTTTTAAATTTTAGAATAACTTCTATGTAGCATATTTTAGTCTGTTAATATAAATTTGAACTTAAAGAAATTAAACCGTATTTAATGAATTTTTATGTACATCTTTCTAGTTCTGGTTTTCATAGCTTTTCAGAAGTATACATCTACTTTCCATTTTTATAAACACAATAAACTGCTATCATTTAAGTCCATAGAAAGGTAAGTTTAGTAGAACCAATGATTTGGTTTTTAGACAAAACTGATTACCTAAATTCAGGAGGGTTTCCCCCAATTTAATGTGGGCAAATAAAAATGAATACAATTAAACAATGTTATTAAGGAAAAGATGCAAGTTACCTCCGCTACTCAAGATAAATGAGACTTATAGAATTATTTCAGTTGAACGTGATTGAAGCAATTCCATTTGAACGAGTTAGTGAAGACTCTAACCTCTCAACCTCCTAAATCTCATGACCTTTCTTTTCTTGGTCTCTGATCCTTTTATTCCTGTGAGAGGAGAGGATAGGGCTAACACTAATCTTTACTTACATGGAGATAATTCTTGTATCAATTAAATTTTCACATTGGTTTTCTGTTCTTGGCATAATAATAAGGCCCTCACCAAAACAATGCTTTCAGAAAATGTGAACTTGAGGTCTCAACAGGACTAATGTTAATAAAATAGAAGTGTGCAACAGATTAAGCAAGGATAAGGTGGTCATATGCCATTGATTTGGTTCTCATTCATCTGTGGCATAAAACACATATTCTGAGAGTAAAACCGGATGACTCTTTTGGCAGCAGCACAAAGTGAAATACTTTTAATATGTTTATTCAGAGATACCTAATTGCTAGTCAAACAAAACAAAACAAAACAAAGTGAAATTAAGACACCACTACTGCAAATAAAATAGTCAGTAAGCCAGAGTACATCACTCAATGTTGCATTTTACTTTTACAGGAGTGTGGTAATTAACAAGTATTCCTACTTTTTCAATAAGTCTTTACTGAAAGTAAGCCTCATAACATGAGGGTCATTTCAAGACAAGAAAATGTGTTCAAATCCATGGTCAACAAGTTGTTTTGGGTTATTTTTTTAAAAAAATAGTTTTCAAATTTTTATGTGTATATATGTATCATAATAAATTAAAATTTAGTATCTTTATTTTATTATTTAATATATAAATAAGTAAATAAAATATTTTCTATTTTATTAAAATTAAAATAAAAATTTCTTTTTTATTTGAGTGAGGATTTACAAATCATAATGCTTTCTCATGCAATTCTTCATAGACATTTTGTTTTGATTAATATTGTCACTGATTAATGTAACTAATTACAATGTCTTCTCAACCTGCTCAATAAATTTTAATCTTTTGTCATTACTTTGTGTCTTTAATATTCACAAACACTGGAATCCTGTAGAAATGAAAACATCATAGTAAGTGTATAGAAATTTCCTGGAGACAGGGATCATTTATACCACATTGTCTATGGCAATAAGAACAAAAATGCATTAAATACTTAACACATGAGCCGACACTAAGTGAAATGATTTATGCACATTACCTCATATTGCCTTTGTAGCAACTATAAGAGGCAATCATTATTAATACTTCCATTTTATAGGCTGAAATTTGGTAAATTAAGTAACTTATCTAGTGTAAGCCACAGATAGTAAACAGGATTAATAACTATGTATCTTTCTCAAGTACATATTACTTTGAGACATTAGTGACTAATTTCCAACACTACAGTTCATATCCCCCAGATGCTGCTCATTAAAGACCTGAAGATCTGTTTGCAGAAAGATAATAACGGAGTCAAACCTACGGTTTACAGCGATTGCTATGACTCAGGTTGTCGGGACAGCGCACAAGGATAACAACTCCAACTTTAAGTAAGGACTTTTCTGAAAAATATTTAAAAACTAGCAACTTATGATTTGCTTGAAAAGACGTAGGAGAAAGCATTACACTATCTCTAGAAGTAGTTCCTCTTGATTTTAAGTGATAAAAATATTTTTGAAGTTGCTTATACAAACTATTGTTACTGGGTATAATATTCTAGGGATACACTTAGAGCTGTCACTAGAATTTTATATAAAGTGACAATAATTTTTTCCCTTAACTAGAAACAACTGGAAAGAACTAAAAATACAATATTTTTTAACATTATGGCTCTTATAATATTTAAATTTAATTTACATTTTTAACCTTCAATGTCTACTTTTCTACATTTCTGATAAATACAGACATATGAATTCTTTTGAGATAACTTATCACTACGATTAATATCTGTTAAGATTATTGTCAATCAATACAGTATCCTAGATAAGAACTAATAGGTAAAAATAAAACAATCCTCTTATTTGAGAAAATATATATTGCATTTTATATTTACTCATTGAATATGTTATATTTATATATATTTATATAGTATATATTTACATAAATAAGTTATAATATAGAAAAATGTTGCATTTGCTTTTCTTGACAACAGCTTAGTCTGTTGGTACTTATTGAGAATATGAGTACCAATATTCAGAGATCTTTTCACATGAATGCTTTGACGTTCTGTTGCTGTTGTTAGGTGTCATTGAGTCAGTTCTTACTCATTGCAACACCATACATTACAGAACAAAATGCCACTCAGCCCTGTGCCATCCTTACAAGTGTAGAGGAGCCCACTTTAGCTGCCAACTCTCTTTTGAGAGTCTTTCTCACTATCTGTTTACAAAGAATGAGGTCCTACTCTAGAGATTGGTCTTCCTGATAACATACCCAAAGTTTACGAGGAGACACAGTCTCATTACATTCACTTCTATGTTTGTCCCAGACAGATTTGGTAGATCTTCTGCCAGTACAAGGTATATGCAATATTGTTTATGAATGCCATAATAAAAACCATTAAAACACCTTTTGCCTTCATTTTAATTGTACAGCCTTTGCATGTATATAAAACAAGTGAAAAATACTGTGACATGGGCCAGGTGCATGTTAGCTTGCAAGGTAGCATTTTTAACACTTTAAAAAGGCCTTCTGTAGCAGACTTGCCCAATACAGCAATTAATTTCTTCACTGATGCATCCAAGAGTGTTGAATGTAGATCAAAGCAAAAGAAAATTCTTGAAGTATTTAAATATCTTCTGATTATCATGTTGTCCATTATAAGGATTTCTGTTTTCTTTATGTTGAGATGTAATAAACAACAAATGCTATAGTTTTTAATCTTTACCAACAGTTTTTTTAACTTTTGGAAAGCAAGGCTGTGTCATCTGCAGAGTGGAGTTTGTTAAGAAGTTTTACTCCAGTCTTGAAACTTTATTTTCATATTGTTCAACTACTCAGATTATATGCTCAGCACAGATATTGAGTAAGTATGGTGAAAAGATACAACATTGACATATAATTTTCCTGATTACAAATAATTCAGTGTCTCTTTATTATATTTAAATAACTGCTTCTTGATCTAGGTATAGGCTGTGCATGAGAACAACAAATTGTTATGGAATTCTCATTCTTTGCAAAGTTATACATATGATCTCAAACAGGTGAATGGCTTTGCAAAGACAATAAAACAGAAGTAAATATTTTTCTTGTATTGTCTGCTTTCAGTCAGGAGCAATCTGACACTAGCTATGATGTCCTTTATTAAATGTCTTCTCTTGAATACTACTTTTATTTCTGGAAGCTCAATATAGTTACTGCTGTAACTATTTTTAATTATCTTCAGGATAATTTCAATTCTATATGATGTCAACAGTATTCATTAATAATCTGCATATTCCATTGTACCACTTTTCTTTAAGCATACATAAGAATTTCTTTCAGTCAGCTGACCTTTAAAATTTCTTGACTTACATATATGAAAACAAATTGCTGTGTGGTATCAGTTTGTTGAAACCTTTCTGTTCTGCTAATTCCTAATGCCTTCTTTGCAATGCCTTCAATGAAGCTTGAATGTCTTCTTTCATTACCATCAGTTCCTGATTACATATTACCTCTTGCAATGGCTGAACATCAACCAATTCTTTTTGGTACAGTGATTGTGTCTTCATCTTCTTTTGATACTTTCTTTACCATTTAATATTTTGTGCATGAAATCCTTCAGTACTGAAACTCAATAGTTTTTTTCCCCCCACAGTTTTTATAACTTGAGAAATGCTGACAGTGCTCTTTTTTGCTTTGCTTTTTAAAAAATGCTATATTAGTTTGCTTACAAAGTTCACATACATTGTGTTTCACACTATTTGTCATTCAAATTATGCTTCATACAATCATTCCCATGGAGTATGCTTTATAAAATCAATCACCATTAGACCTTGTCCATCATTACCCTGTCTTTTCAGGTTTGGGCTATATCCTTCGCATTTTCTCGCCCTCTCCTCCGTGTCTCCCAATCCCCAATTGAGCAACCCTGTGGCTGTGCCTCTACCCATCCTCACCCCTCTGCTCCTACTCCTTCCCCCCTGGGGTCCCCATACATGTTTCATTAGCTATCTTTCTATTTGCGTAATTATATGAGGGTTTTTTTTTAAGTTCACTAATTACAATGGTATTGATCATCAAACATTGTTTCATTTACTGAGGATTTTCAATATTCAGTTATTCACTTTCCAGATATTTTACATTTTTACCACATTATCATTTCACCATTTTCAGAAACTATGTACAGGAGTTCATAAATTTTTACAGTGTTAGGTTTAACTTAGAAGAATCAATATGAAGTGCTTTTGAATTCTTATGCCTTTATGTAACATTTAGGTTATTCTTTTATGTATCTGGTTGGGTTTTTTTTAATTAACCTCAAACTTGGCCCATTCATATTCATTGTTGAAATTATTACTTAAAAGAGCCAAATGCAGTTTCCTGTGGCATGCCACAAGAAATCTCTCTTTAAGTTTATATTTATTCATAAAAGACAAGCTATTCCGTTTTGCTTACATAATTGGATTAGGAATAAGCTGAAAAATTCTTTCTAAAATAATGGTAGAAGTATTAGCTCACAGGAAACTACCACATCCTGGAAATATAAACATAACTCAGATTAGAGTCATGAATAAGTTGAAATATTTGGTTATATAGACATATTATGTAGCATGATTCATTATACATGAAGGATTCAATTTCCACACTTCTTAGTTTCACTTTTCAAAATGTTTGACACTCATTGTAACATGAACACTCTGACAATCTCATGATTTAAGAAATAGGCAAATGCCAACATTTTCTTTTTAAAGGATTTAGAACTTTTTAGAAATTTTATCCATTTCATACAGTTTTTTAAGGTTATCTAAATATATTTTATATGATTATCACAGTAACCAAAAAAAAGAAAAAAAAAGAGTAGAAATCCATGTTGTTGTTGTTATGTGCAGTCGAGTTGTTTGCGACTTATAGCAACCCTATGTACAACAGCCCTAAACCCTGCTCTATCCTGAGCCAATCTCATTGCCTCTGACACACCCATCTCGATTACCCTAGTCATTGAATCAATCCCCCTCATAGATGGTCTTCCCCTCCTGGGCTGTCCCTCCACCTTCCCAAGCATGATGTCCCTCTCCAGGACTTGTCCCTCCTTACAACATGTCCAAAGTATGTCAGACGAAGCCCCAGAATCCTTACTTCCAAGGTGTAGCCTGGCTTAACCCTCTCCAGGATGAATCTGTTTATTTTCTTGGCAGTCCACGGTATTCAATACTCTTCTCCAGCACCACAGCTCAAAGGTATCAATTCTTCTTCTATCGTCCCTAGTCATTGTCTAACTCTCTGATGCATAACAAGTAATTACAAAGACCATGGCCTGTATCAGACGCACCTTAGTCTCCAGAGACACACCGTTGCTTTGAGTGCTTTAGAGAGGTCCCTAAGAGCAGACTTTCCCATTGCAATACGTTGTTTGATTTCCTGGATGCCGGTGCCAAGAGTGATGACCGTGGAGCCGAGCAAACTGAAGCTGTGAACAATCTCAATCTCTTTGCCATCCATCCTGATGTTGCCAATTGGTCCACTTGTGAGAATCTTCGTCTTCTTGACATTGAGCCTCAGTCCATACTGAAGGCTGCAGTCTTGACCCTCTGCAGCAAGTGCATGAGGTCTTCCTCAGTTTCAGCAAGCGGGGTTGTGTCATCTGCATGACACAGATTGTTAATAGATCTTCCACCAATCCTGACGCCACACTTCTCCTCATAGAGTCAAGCGTCTCGGATAATCTACTCTGCATACAGGTTGAAAAGGTATGGAGATAGGATACATCCCTGGCGTACACCCTTCCCAATTTTGAACCATGCAGTGTTACCCTGCTCTTTTCTGACGACTGCCTCTTGGTCCAAGTATAGGTTTTGCATTAGCATGATTAAATATTCTGGGATTCCCATTCTTCTCAGAGTCAGCCACAGTTTGTTATTATCCACACAGTCAAATGCCTTTGCATAATCAATGAAACACAGATAGACATTCTTCTGGTATTTCCTGCTTTCAGCTAAGATCCATCTAACATCAGCTACAATATCCCTAGTACCACGACTCCTTCTAAACCCAGCCTGGAATTCTGGCAGTAGATATGATAAATTAATAATAATTTTGGCCATACAAGGTGAAGCAGGTCACTAGGTTGCTATAATTTCTTTTACCTGAGATGATTCTCACAGAACTGCTAAGGGTGATGGGCCACCCATCTTTAAGCCAGGTTATAGAAGGCAAGGGAATTCCTGAAGCTTCACAAGTTAGGGACACGGAGTTCTTTTCTATGACACTGATGTTTTCAGGTATGCCATGGTTCCCTATGATACTTGGAGGAGCTGTAAAACAAAACAAGTAGTAAATGGGGGGGAAAGTAGCCAATAAACATATCAAAGATCAAATATAAGATATCATATTGATAATAATAAGGCTTTCATTTTTAGTTCAACAGTAAGTAAGATAAGCAATCACAATATTATGCTATTATTTGGGTATGTATCTAATATGGATTCATACTTTCATTTTACAGGGAGAATTTTCTAACAAACAGTTTTAACATCAAGACCTTAATAAAAACTAACCAAATAGATTGAGAAATTGAGGTATATTCACACAATGGAATACTATGTAGCACTCGGAAGGAACTTTAAAAAAAATACTACATAACTTGGGATACACTGAGAGTATTATGCTGGGTGAACTAATTCAGTCACTTAAGGACAAATACTGCACAAAACCATTATTGTAAAAAATAGAATGATAACTAGTAAAACATCTATGGGAGCTCAAGGAGGGAAGGGGTGGGTGTGGAAGGGTGAGGATAGGTAAACCACAGGCTTGCAGAGTTTGGTAGGTGTAGGGGGAGGTGAGAGGGAAGGAAATGGGCAGGATCCAGGTGCAAAGGTAGGGTAATGATTGGCAAAGTTCAAAGATGATAAATTTTGTAAAATATGATGAATGAGACAGGGCAAAGATGGGCAAGGTTCAACGGTGATTAATTTTGTAAGACATAATGCGTGAGGATGATTGTATGAAACACAATCATAGGTCAAAGCACTACAGTTCAATTTGGCTATTTCAAATTAGGTCTTCCTGAATGTGTATATTTTCTTGTCTATTCTTTTTATAATTATAACTCATTAAAATATTAAAACCCCCTTTAGTACATGCATAAATGATGCAGAATCAGAAATCTCTAAAGAGCATAAGTTTATATAAGCATATAAGGCTGTCAGTTTGTAAAACATATGTAGAATTGTAGATGGGACAGCTTTAGATAAAAATAAAAAAGAAATTGAAGAAAGCAATTATCTATTCAACTGCTTCATTTCCTAAAAGAATATCTTATGTGCTTTTCTTGGGTAAGTAAGAAATAAGAAGTAAAACACAGAAGAAGCAATAATAAGACAGATTTAGAGAAGTGATACATAGATGGTAAAGAATAGACTATTGGAGGGAGCTCTTGTGGCCTAGTGGTAAGAAACTGTGCTGGAATTCCAAAGGCATGAGGTTGGAATCTACCAGCTGTTCTGAGGGTTAGGGTTACTGATTTACTGTACCTGAAAACCTAATGTCACCTGTGGGCCACTTCCTACTCAAGGGTACACAACAAAAACAACTGGTGAATGAGTTTCAGTATCTCCTATCCAGGATGCTAGACCTACTGAGCCTCTTTTATACTTACCATGTACACTTAAGTCGTATTTTCTGTCAGTCATCCCTGCTACATTCATAGCCACACACACATAGCGGCCTGTATCAGACACATGAACATTCTTCAGCTTAAGAATACGACCTTCATTCAGTATTTCCACGCCCTTTCCCTTGGCCAAAGGGCGGCCATCTTTCATCCAGGTTACTGATGGTTGAGGAATACCCTGTACTTCACACTCCAAGGAAATACTTTTCCCTCGAGTCATAATAACTTCAGTAGGCTGGTTCCCACTGTTGGATATAGTTGGACGAACTGGGAGAAAAGGAAAAGGAATACAACAGGGAATATTTGCTTCAAATTTTACATAGGAATTATGGACTAAAGTTAAGTTTTAATTTTCAAATATAAACTACCAAAAAAGAAACCCAGGAGTATAAATATGGCATTACTATATTAGCAGGCATAATCTTTCTTCAATATTTCTAAGTGGGTTTATACTTGAAAGAAAGATATTGACATAGTAGCAAAATAACATATTTCACATCTTCTCTGCTTTTGTGAAGTTATGTACAAATATTTGAACTTATTATTTGTCACTTTCTCTGATTTAAAGGTGTCTTCCTAACACTAACTTAAAATAGATGTGATAGCCTACTCCAAAAAAGACTCCCAGAAATATCTGTAGAATATTTGCAATTAGAAAAACAGACTTCCACAATTTCAATAAAAGGAAATTTATTCTTTTCATTAATAGAGGGGGAATAGAATATTCTCAGTGGGTGTATATCTTCCGTGTACTGTATTCCTTGATCTTTTTGTGCTGCTCTTCGTCCATGGCATCCAGTTAATTTTAGTAAAGACCAAAATACCTTCTCTCCGTCCTGGGATAGTTTGGTGTTGCCTACTTCTTAGTTCAAAGTCCCATTCCTTACCCATTCTTGCCATAAGGTAGACTGAACTCTACTGAGTCCTGCATATCCCTTTGCCTATTTTATTGAGTCCTTCAAATTTTAGCTTAAAGTCATTCCTTCAGAGGAGTTTCTCCCAAATCAGTAAACCAGGTACGTACTTTGGTTACAACTTTCATAAGGCTCTGTTACTTTCATTTAAGCAAATTGCTCAGGTTGTAATTACACTTTGCTTATTGTTAGCTGTTTGATCCCACTAAGCAGTACTGTCCAATAGAAATTGAAAGTAAACTACATATTAAACTTTAAATTTCTTTTTCTTTTAAAGACCACACTTAAAATGTAAGCAGATGAAATTAAATTTGGTAGTATATTTTACTGAATCTTTTTTTGGAATAAAAAAATGCTTTCACTTCAATATGCAGTGAATTTTAAAATACTAATAGGACATGTATTTTGTATAAAGTCTTTGAAATCCAGTGGTCATTGTTCAATGATAGTACATCTCAATGCAGAATAACCAAAGATCCAATGTTCAGTAGTCACATGTTGCTAGCAGCTACCGTATTGTTGGTCTAAATCATAATAAAAATGAGCTCTATGACTACAACTAGGTTTGTTTAATGCCATATTTACCTGGATCATATAGTTGGCAGTAAAAAATTATAATAAAATATCAATGAAATTGTGGTGTTTGTGTGAGTAAATGTAGGTATGAGTGGTTACCCACTCATACTTTTCTGTGATAAACATATATTACTTTTGCAATGAGAAAAAATAATTAAAATATCCTAAATTTTAAAATATAACAAAATTTCAGGAATGGAAGAGTATTTTTCTAAATCCCCTCGGAAAAAAATAAGAGAAACACAGAGATAGTTCATTTTAAATAATTTTGTAATATGATATAATAAGTATATATATTAGACCTATTTTTCATCAATTTCCTTTTTTAGAACAAGTTAAATAATATTACAATACTGTGGCAGGCATTGCTGTCTCGCTGACACAACATTATTCATAACTCTCTTCTCAATCTTCAGTATACAAGTTGGAAAAGTTATCATTTCAATCATCGTTGAAAACTGGAATGTTCATGCAAATAAATTCAAATTGAGAAAAATCTAAACATATCAGCTAGGGGGAAAGTTCTTGCTTTCCTACTGAGATAGAGTAACCACCTTTGTCCTTCTGTGGTCTTCATCATGGACCCTCCATTACAGTTATAGTGACCATCTGGAGACCATCAAAGAAGGGTCCTGGGAATCTAGTGCTCTTGTCTCAGAAGGTTAGAGTCCTGTAAACTTCAGTGGCTGACTGCCAACTTTGTGCTTTTCATATGAGATAAAAGAAACTTCTCCTTGTTTGTCTCTGATCATTGATTATTTGTTATTTTATAAATCTGATACAGAGTTTAAATAAGACAACCAGTCCCACTCTAACGGGATGTTTTGACAATGGGCTAGCCTCAGTAATCTTGTGTACTGAGTCATTAATGGTTCTACCACGTACAAAGCACATGAACTTGCTTAGTCATCATACGTAATCTCTCTGGGATTAAGGTTCCACATCAGCAAAATGAAGTCAATAGCTTCCTAGTTATGAGAAGAGTTAATAAAATAATATGAATAATCAAAGTACTCTGAAATGTTATACAAGTAATTGGTCCTTAAAATGATATTTCCCCCCCCCTCTTTACATTGTAAATATATACTACAATACCACTCTTCTTCTCCCCCATTACCTCTCTATTCCTTTTACAATCAGGCCTTCAACAATATATTTATTAATGTATCTGCCTGACTCATCTACAGGGAACAGAGGTATCACTGAATAAATAACAGTTATAAATAAATAGTTATACACTGGAATACCAGTAACATTAAAATAAGGAATAATGAATTGCTAGTTGTTATAACCATACTACAAATGAGTGGTAGTGATCTGGAAAAAAAGTTTTTAAAAAGGGTAGAAATTTTTAGAAAAATCAACAACTTACGATAAACCTGCAAATTGTAGTCTTTTTGTGTGGTTCCAGCAACATTCGATGCCACACATGTATAGAGTCCTGTGTCAGATTTTTCAGTAATTGAAATCTGTAAGTTCCTTCCCCCAGATAAAATTCGAACTCGACCTGCAGAGTCAGTGAGGACAGGGGAGCCTGGAAAAAAAAAAGGAAGAAGATGAGACAAAAACATAAAGCACTTTGCATATACACTTTTCAATTACTTCCTATACATCTGAAAGCTGGACAATGAGTAAGAAGGTAGAAGAAGAATTGATGTCTTTGAGTTGTGTAGTACTGGAGAATACTGAATATCACATGAGCTGCCAAAAGAACAAATATATTTGGAGAAAGTCCAGCCAGGATGCTTCTTAGAGGTAAAAATGGCTAAGCTTTGTCTCATAAACTTTGAGTATGTTGTTCAGAGGCACTAGTCCTTGCAAAAGGACATCATGCTGGAAATGGTAAGGGTCTTCAGAAGAAAGGAAGACCCTCAATGAGAGGGATTGACACAAATACTGCAACAATGGGCTCAAGCATATGAGAGATAATGAGGACAGCACAAGATAGGACAAGATTCAGATCTGTTGTTCATTGGGCTGCTATGAGTCATACTGGACACCTAATAACAATCCATGTACTTGATATATTTGTACTTATTTATTTTCTCCTAGGTCATACACCCAAATGGTAGATAACACTGTAACACTGTAAAATACCTTGCCATGTTGGAGGATGGGGAGAAAGTTAGGAAGGAGGTTAAAAAATTATCCAAGTTTCTCCTTGGAAACTAGGATTTTCAAGCTTTTTCTCTCTCATATACTTTGGGCACCTGGCCAGGAGGGATAGATCCTTGGAAAAGGATGTCATGCTCAGAAGGGTGGAGGGAACCCAGATGAGATGGATTGATAGAGTAACCAGTGCAGTGGGGGTAGGTGTGTTAGAGTCGGTGAGACTGGCTCAGGATGGAGCAGGCTTTGTACATAGGGCTGCTATGAGTTGCAGGTGACTTGACGGCATGTAACAACAATAACAACAACAATTTACGTTTATTTCTGCAGTTCTTTCTTTTGAACAAAATATTATATTTGCGAGAAAATATATTTAGAGACTAAAATATAACCTTAAAATTTAAAAATAAAAACGAATGTTTGAACAGTTAAGGATTTATATAAAGGGGTTCTTCTGGTGGTGTCTCTCTGACAGTTTGAACTCACTAGTAGGTTAGGAGAAGAAAGATCAGCAAACTCCTCCTGTACAATTTACAGCCACTGAAAATGCAGTGGAGGTCAGCCCTGAGTTGGTTTTTACTTGACAGCAACGAATTGAGTGGAATTGCTGGTGGCACAGTGTGCAATGTACTGGGTTGCTAAAAGGCCAATATTTCAAGTCCACTAGCTACTTGGGAGAAAGATAGGCCATCTCTTTCTGTAAATAATGTCTACTACTTACTAAGTACAAATAAATATTCCTTCTGAATAAATAAAAATCTGCTCAATTGAAGAAGCGACTCTTAAAACATATTTCAAAATTGTTACAAATAGAGCAAAAATGTTTCCCATAAAAAAGAATATTTTTTATCAATTTAAAGAAAACTAGGTTGAAGAGTGAATAGTTACCCAATAATGCATTTGAGTAATAAAAAAATCAATCAATTAACAAAGAAAATTGATGTTTCCTGGGAACATTTAAAATCTAGAAAGATAAGGGAGTTCTGGTCGCCTAGAGGCAAGAAGCTGTGCTGCAATCCCAAAGGCGTATGGTTCAAGATTCACCAGATGCTCTACTGAAGAAGAAGCAATCTCCTCCATGCCAGCCAGATCCACCTCGATGGTACACAACAACAACAACAAAAAGAACAAAAAAATCCAGAAAAATGAAGTGTAGGATAATTTATAATAGCATACATTAAACATGTAATATAGGGCAATTATGCTAAGTGTTCAAAGTCCAGGAAAGAATCTTAATTAGTTGACATTGGTGAGAGAAAAGAAAGACATTTATCACATATATATATTTTATGTTATAAATGTGAAAGTATAGAAACTGACCTTTCTTCTTCCATATTAGATTTGGAGGTGGAATACCACTAGATTCACACAATAGATTGATGAAGTTCCCTTCAATAACAGTAAGCTGAGCGAGTTCATCTGAACCAAAAATACTTGGTGGTACTGAAAGAAAAAGAAACAAGAAACTTTTTTATCCTCCATGATTCATGTAGGCAAAGATGTTTATACTCATATGATACAAGGAAAGGGTAAATACTTGAGTTTACTTATCAATGCTATGGTAAAATTCATCTATAGATATACATATGTAGTGGCCAATGGCTGATTTTTACAGATAGAAATTTAATCAACAAAATATTCAGGGTATTAAAATAACATAAAAGAAGCTAATACATTACAGATATTTCAAAACTTGCAATGATCAAGACATCAATCAAACTTTAAATAAATCGAGCCACTGCTGTCTAGCAAGGCTTGATGTTTCAGATGCAAAGAATGATTGGAAAAAGTCAAGCATATTGCAAGTAGTAGAGAAGAAGCAAGATATTTAACCCAAGAAACAGTCATTTTTAACTCTAGATTGTATAACCTGCCTTCCCACAGTCCATTATCTTATCTTTCCCTTCCCTCCCCACCACCCCCAGTATTACTAGGTGGAAAATGCTTATTCTTCTAAGGCTCTGAGAATTGAGAGTTTGGAGATTCTATCTTACTCTTCAGAAAGAATTATCAAAGGACTCTGATCCTTTGAGACTCATGCCACAAACGTAGCTCTTTCTTACCGTCTTGTGAATTTCTCTATCATTCTTCCTCCATTCACATAACAACCTGGTGTCTATTTTTATACTCTCCTCTCATATCCTAATATATATAAACTCAACATCCATTTAACACCTGGAGTGCTCTCTCAATTTCTTCATCTGCTCAAACTTTCCATCAGAATCCACATTATGACCCTTATTAAGATCATTGCTTTTATGAATTTGTATATAATGGCCCTTCTCTGATAATCCTAGAGCAAAACCCTCACATTCAATTTACAGTCTGAGAAATGCAATGGAGGTTAATTATGAGGAAATACTCACTTGATGGCACTTGGGTTTTTAATTAAACATAAGCAATACTCACATTTAACTTTACAGCTCCAATGACTATTAAGGCAAATACATAGTTGTAATAAAGATTTCCTCAGAAGTTTAGACTTATATGTCCAACTGACTGCTTAGTTTTAACTTCTGCACCTTAAAGGCATTGTCAAACTTTGCTTTCCTAAATGGAATTAACCTAGTTTTTTCCCTTCTCTGAAGGAAGGATGTTACGGTCCATACTGTCCAGCTAGTCAAGCCCACATTACAACCATCCCTGACTTGCCTCCTCATCTTTCCACTTAATCCATTAATCCTCTTGATCCAATTTCTTAAATTTATCTACTTTCTTTATAAAGCACAAATCTGAACATCTCAGCTCTCTTGGAGAGAAAGAGTTAAACACTAGTCTACTAGTGAAACCAAGATATGACCTTTAGTCCGTCCCACTCGAATTTCAAAACCATCTCAGGAAAGGTTTGAGGCCTTGAGCACCAATGAGCGTAGACCAAATGAGCTCTGGGAGGATATCAAGAAAATCGTCCATGAAGAATGCAAAAGATCATTACAAAGGCTAAAGAAGAAGAAAAGACCAAAATGGATGTCAGGTGAGACTCTGAGTATTGCATTAGAGTGCCGAGAAGCCAAAGCTAAAGGAAGAAATAAAAAAATCAAAGAGCTGAATAAAAAATTTCAAAAGGCATCTCGGGATGACAAAGCAAGATACTATAATGAAATGTGCAGAGAGTTGGAGTCAGAAAATCAAAAGGACAGGACTCGCTCAGTGTTTCTTAAGATGAAGGAGTTGAAAAACAAATTCAGGCCATGGGTGGCAATACTTAAAGATAGTTTGGGTAGAATGTTGAATGATCCAGGAAGTATAAAAGGAAGATGGAAGGAGTACACAGAGCCACTGTATCAGAAGGAATTCGCTGACACAGAGGAATTTCATGAGATAACATATGAGCAAGAACCTATGGTGATGAAGGAAGAAGTTCAAGTTGCTATGAAGGAACTGGCAAAAAACAAGGCTCCAGGAGTTGACAGCACACCAATTGATTTATTTCAACAAATAGATGCTACCCTGGATGTGCTCACTAAGTTGTGCCAGGAAATCTGGATTGAAGTTCAACATCAAGAAGACAAAGGCTCTCACCACTGGGCGTACTGGCAGCACCATGATAGAGGGAAAAGAGACTGAGACTCTTAACAATTACAGCTTGTTTGGTTCCACAATATACACTCTTGGCATCACCTGTCAAGTACCTCTCCAATGTGCTAAAGAGTAAAGATGTCTGTCTAGAGACTAAGGTGTATCTTACTCAGGATATGGTCTTTAGAGTACTTTCTATGTATCAGAGAGCTGGGCAATGACTAAGGATAACAGAAGATGCAATGAGTATTAAATTGTCATGCTGGAGAAGAGTATTTAACATACATACTATGGACTTCCAAGAGAACAAACAAGTCTGTCCTGGAGAGGGTGAAACCAAGTTGTTCCTTGGAGGCAAGGATTTTGAAGCTTTATTTTATACACTTTGTACATGTGGTCACAAAGGACCAGTCCTTGGAGGACACATCATGCTTGAAAGAGTGAATGGACAGCGCAGGGAGGAAGATCCCGATGAGATTGACTGACACAGTAACTGGGATAATGGAACAAGTCTGTCTGATAATGAGACTGGCTCAGGATATGACGAGGTTCAGAGCTATTGTACATAGGGTTGCTAAGAGTCACAGGTGACTTGATGGCAAATAATAACAACATATAGATAGATATAGATACACACACATATATACGGATTTAAGAGGTCTATTTCCATTTGTCACCTTATTCTGCTGTGAACAAAAGGATTCTCTGTTCATGTGATTTACTGCCTTTGGAAACCCACTGAGAGTTAGTTAGGAGCCAGTTTCCACTTAATAACACAACAGCAACAAAATCTAGGGGCCATAGTGGTACAGTGGTTAAGTGGTAGAGTTCTAATAAAAACTTCTGCAGTTCAGACCCACAAGTGGCTACAGAAAGATGTAGCAGTTTGGTTCTATAAACATTGGTGATCTTGGAACCCACTGGGAATTTCAACTTTATCTTAAAAAGTCATCATGAGTTACAATCTACTCATTGATAATGTTGGAGTGGATTCTCCAGCAGGTTTTCAGAGGCAGTTAAGTTGCAGAGAAGGAGATTGCCTGTCTTGCTCCCATGGAGTAGCTGGTAGATTTGAACTGTGTGCCTTTGGGTTAGTTGGCAGTCCAACTCCTTACCACTAGGCCACCATGATTTGGGAGCTCTGGTAGCTTAATGGTAAGAAATTGCACTGACAACACACAAGTAGATGGCTTAAATCCACTAGCTGATCTGTGGGAGAAAATGGGCAATCTTCTCCTGTACAGGTAACTGCCCCTGAAAACCTCCTGGTGGGTCTGCTATAATTCACTTATGACAACACAACAACAACAACACAATGATGATAGGTTTGGTGGAGCCTCTATACCAGTCTTCAGTTCCATAGCAAATGACCTTAAGTTTAGTCTTCAATTCATTCAGTGGTTTCAGAATTCTCCTAGGTATCTGTAAGTTGTCATCCTCTTCATAAAGCTAATACCTAATCATCCTTAAAATTTCCATTATATGTCACTTTCAGTTATTATATTTTCCCACACAATCATCTGTCATAGCTCATGAAGTATTTAATTTTAATTGGCTATTTAAAGATGTGCTACACCAGCAAAGTATATGTTCTGTGAGATCAGTGTCTGTCTTTTTCAGTCATTTTGTTATGCCCACACATGTAATCTATCCAAGTCCTATTTATATGCCACCCCTATTATTTTTTAATAGGAACATTATTGCCTCTTAATTTCCATGAAAATGTCTGTACCTAGTATTCCTCCTAACTAACTTGGGAAAGACTGGAAAACATTATGTTTTGCAAACTAACTCACAAACACATTTTGACCCAGTTCTACACAAAATTAGCCTATTTCCAAGTGTCTGATCCACTAGTAGTTTCTGGAAAGGGTTCAATCATTATGAGATAACAGTTGTAGAAGCTAAAGGACATACTAATTAGTAGAGAAGAATACACTAGGTAACATTTACAATTAATCACATGATAAGAATAAAGAGGTCTGGGGTGTCAGAAACCTTGAAAATTGGCTCTAGATACTATGTTAGCTCTTATTGGAGAAAGTTGGTCTCCAGCTACCTTAACTGTGGACACATGGTCTTGTAAATCATCAACAACAGTGGGACCAATATAAGAGAACACTTTTCACGCAGTGAGAGGTAGTGGTGGAAGGACTGTGAAGATATTGTGAGGACAGTGGTAAAGAGACTGTGGTATTGCTGTGGAGAGATTGTGGCAAGGTGTAACTAGAGGAACCCTGGAGATAGAGCCACAGTTAAAAGGTTTTGCTTGCTGGATGACTGAAGAAAAAGCTGACTTGTAACTGCTCTGAGATAAAGTTTGATGGATGATTAAGGAAACCAGAGGCTTCTTGCATTTGTGCTGCTGAACAAAACCTGTACATTAATTATTTGAGAAATTGTGTCTTGCTGTTAATCTTTGGAGTAGTTGTTGAACTAAACCTGGACTTGTATTGTTGATATCCTCTGCTTTTTCTGCTCCCCAACTTATCTCCTTACAAGTAAACCCCACAACCATGAGTAAAGTGTGTCAGTCATTTTGCAATGAGCATTGAACCCAATGATTGGTAGAATAAGGTACAGGAGCATGTGGGGTGGGAAATCTCATCATGTAGCTATTTATTTGGTACTATGGATATTATTAATAGGGGAAGTTCCCCTTTCTAAAGCAGGTCAGATTCTAAAGCAGATCAGACACAGTAAACCCCATATTGCATCTGCTCCTTTTGCTGAGTTTATTGTTGTTCTTGAAGTAAATGTATACCTTAGTTCAATGTCAATAAAAATAGTTCCCCTATTATGCAAAGGCATTTGACTGTGTGGAACATAACAAACTGTGGCTGACTCTGAGAAGAACGGGAATCCCAGAACACTTGATTGTGCTAATGCAAAACCTATACTTGGACCAAGAGGCAGTCCTCAGAACAGAGCAAGGAAACACTGCGTGGTTCAAATCTGGGAAGGGCATACACCAGGGATGTGCCCTGTCTCCATACCTTTTCAACCTATATGCAGAACAGATTATCAGGGAGGCCGGGCTCTATGAGGAGAAATGTGGTGTCATGATTGGTGGAAGATCTATCAACAATCTGTGTTACGCAGATGACACAACTCTGCTTGCTGAAACTGAGGAGGACCTGAAATGCTTGCTGCAGAGGGTCAAGGACTGTAGCCTTCAATATGGATTGAGGCTCAATGTCAAGAAGACAAAGATTCTCACCACTGGACCAATTGGCAGCATCAGGATGGATGGTGAAGAGATTGAGATTGTACACAGCTTTAGTTTGCTTGGCTCCACAGTCAACACTCTTAACACTAGTAGCCAGGAATTTAAAAGATGTATTGCAACGGGAAAGTCTGCTGTTAGGGACCTCTCCAAAGTACTGAAGAGCAATGGTGTCTCTCTGTAGATCAAGGTGTGTCTGATATACAGGCCATGGTCTTTGCAATCACTTGTTATGCATCAGAGAGTTGGACAATGACTAGGGAGGATAGAAGGAGAATTGATGCCTTTGAGCTGTGGTGCTGGAGAAGAGAACTGAGGGTACCGTGGACTGCTAGGAAAACAAACAGATTCATCCTGGAGAGGGTTAAACTGGGAGGCCCCTTGGAGGCAAGGGTCCATCTAACATACTTTGGACATGTTATAAGGAGAGACTGGTCCTTGGAGAAGGACATCATGCTTGGGAGGGTGGAGGGACAACACAGGAGGGGAAGGCCCTTTAATGAGGTGGATTGATTCAGTGACTGGGGTAATCGGGATGGGTGTATCAGAGATGGTGTGATTGGCACAGGACAGAGCAGAGTTTAGGGCTGTTGTACATAGGGTCACTATCAGTCACAAGTGACTCGATGGCACATAACAACATGTGTTCAATATAGTGCATCTGAGAGTTAGACAGTGAATAAGGATGACAGAATAATAATTGATGCCTTTGAGCTGTGGTGTAGGAGAAGAGCACTGAACATCCCATGGACTACAAAGAGCACAAACAAATAGTTTTGGAGAGGGTGCAGCCAGAGTAGGCTTTGGAAGCAAAGATGATGAGGCTTCGCCTCATGTACTTGAGACACATTGCTAGGAGGGGATATTCCTTGGAGAGGGACATGATGCTAGGAAAGACAGAGGGTCAGCAAAGGAAAAGAAGACCCTCAACCAGGTGGGTTGACATGGTGATTGCTACAGTGGGCTTTCAAGTGGCAAGAAGTGTGAGGAGAGCACAGGATAGGACAGGGTTCAGATCTGTTGTTCATAGGGTCACACTGGGTCATACTCAACTTGATGGCCTCTAACCACAACAACAACATGTGTTACAATCAATTTCATTTCTACAGATGTAATTTTTAGAATTAACATAAAGAATAAATGCAAAACCATAGGGTGTGCTCTTTGCTTCAAAGTGGCTAATCACACCTACCCCAGACGTTGACATTATAGTTTTTCTCAGTTTTTCCAGCAACATTTGTGGCCTCACAAGTGTAACGACCAGAGTCTTGTACCTGAGCATCTTCAATCTGAAAACAAAAGCATACTTTAAAACTATAGTACGAAGAATCTTAAACATTTCAAAAGTAAAGAGGATAGAATCAATGGCTATATACCTATTACTTAGATTTAATATCTATAAAGATTTAATCCTCATGTCATACCTCATTTTAATTTGGTACATATTAGTGACTGAAAATCTAGAAAGGTTTTCTAAATGCAATTTGGGTGAAATAGAAAAATAATTATTTAAGTTACAAACATATATAATCCTTATGTGTCCAAGATATTGTTAAATCAAACCCTGATTATTGACTTAAATATCTTTGCTCACACTGTTTATAAACTTTTTATATTTATTTTTATTTAATATTGATTTGCATATAGAATTTGTATACATTGTGTTTAACACTTTTTTCATTCACATTGTGTTTCATACAATCATTCCCATATTTAATGTTTTATAAAATTAATCACCATTGAACTATTCTCACCATAAACCTATCTTTTCATATAAACTTTATTAAGCCAGACATTATATTTAAATAGCTTCAGTCTCTCAGAATTTTATCTAGTGCTTGGGAGAAAATTGGGTATGGGCAAATCTTTTTCGATCTATTTAGCTATAATATGCACTGATGCTAATTCATCATTCATTCATTGATCTTTAAACAGTCAATGAAAACTGTTCTTGGCACTGCGGGTAGAAGAAAAAGAGAAATACAGTGTAATAAAGTTTTTATTTTAATGCATTAACATGTCACTAAAAGATAAAGCATATGAACATAAAAAGAGCTTAATAATATAAGGCATCATTAAAAAGACAAAAGAAAAGTCAGGCTTCAGAAACTGCTGTACATATAGGGTCGCTATTACTCACAGACAATTCAAAGGCACATAACAACAACAATATAAGAAGTATATATTTGATTATCAAATGAGATTCCAATCAATATAATGTTCAAAAAAAAGAAGAGTCACTGGGGTTGGAATAATCATGAAATGTATAGTAGGGGTGCAGATTAAGTACTCAGTAAACAATTATTAGTTGATGTGAAAAAATAGAATTGGAATTTTGTCAAAACACAGATACAATATTGAAGAATATTAGACCTAAAGAAGTATGCAAAATCCAGTGTCTTTATTTTAGAGATAATTTTCAGTTCAGTCGACATATTGGACTCTTGCTTACCTCCAGGGTAGAGCTTCAATGAATTTCAGGATTTCTTAATTGATATTGTCTCTTTCCTCCTACTCCCTTTGGGGTCTGTGTTCTGAAGACAACAGAGCTCTATTCCCATGGAATTTTGCTATGATAATGCTAATCATAATCAGATACTCCTCAGAAGAACTGCTAGCTGTGATCACAGAATTGTATCTCTTTATCTTTCAGTCAAATCTGAGTTTTGCAAATTTGGAAAGTATATGTTTTTATACATGCAGCTGGATTTATTTATTCTTCATCAGTATTTCCAATTCTTCCTTTTTTTTTCTTTTTCCAATTCTTCCTTATCTACTCAGTTCCACAATTATAAGGTCTTAAAACTCAAGGTATTTATCCTCTTAACTCTAACATGCACTTTTAAGCTATCTGTCTCCCCTTTCTCTGGTGGCCTTATGGTAAGGAGCTGCACTGCCAACCTGAAGGCACGTGGTTCAAATCCACCAGCTGTTCCACGGGAGAAAGATGGGAAATTTCCTCTTGTGCAATTTACTGTCTCTGAAAATCCACTGAAGGGTCAGCTGAGAGTTTGTTCTGACACAATGGTCACAGCATTAGCAACTGCCATTCTTGGGAACCATCACCAACTCCATTTCCCAGGAAATCTCTTTGTTCGCCAGTTATAACTTTCCTTCATGAACAGTATCCCTTAGTAGCATGAACTCTGAAGCTACACCACCTGTGTTGAACTCCATTTTCTGCAACTTAATAATTGTGGGAAGATTACTTAGCTTTTGGTTCAAGTTTTCAACTGGGTTATTTTAAAGGTTATATAAGTATTCTATTGACCAACTCATTTCCTGAATTCTATCACTTCACAATGTCTTTCAAAGTTCTTATTTAAGTCAATTCAAACATGTAAAATATACTTCTAAATATTCACCTTGCTAAATTATCTTGTTTAATGATCTTTGTTTCAGCTAATTTAGCTTACTTTGCTTCTTTAATCAGCTTTTCCCATCTATCCTTAAAGAGCCAAGTAGTCTTCTAAGACTCATGAAGTAACTATAGACTAGCCTTTTTTATTCTCCAAAATACATAGTCTATAACACCCATGTTATCTTTAACTCAGTCTTACTGCACTTTTCAATTCAAGAGACTTTATGTTCTAGAGAAGAAAATGTCTTATGTTTTGTGTCTTTATTTAGAATACCTAGAAAAGGTATTTGATGATTGGTTGAATAACTGAAAATAAAGCACTTTTTAAAATTTTCTGTAATATTTTAATGAATTAATTATTCTTTTATTGTTAGTTTTAATAATTTTAATGAACATTTACAGAGATTTTGGATTTCCATTCATTCATTGCTGCACTTCTCTCCCTGCCCAGCCCTCCCCCCACCTCCCGGCCTGCCAGTTCGCTCCTCTCTTTTAAAAGTAAAAGAAACACCCCTTTCCTGGAACACAACCCCCCCGCACCCCTCCCACTGCCCCAAGTACATTCCACTATGCAATCTTAATTGTGGACTCTTGTGATATGGTTATCACAAGAATTAATTACTCTTATATGGTATCTAGCTATAAATTTTAATGGACAGTTAAATATTTAATTATCTCAAGTATAATACAGAATAATATTACAAGTGTCAGTAGTTAAATAGTTCCTGGACTTCTATACTTATAGAAGATAAAAGTAGCATAGTACTCCTAAAAGACATGCAGTTTTGGAAAAGGAGAGTTAGCAAAATGAGAGGAAAACCCTCAATAAGATTGACTGACACAGTGACTGAAACAATGGGCTTGACCATGGTGGAGATTATAAGGATACTGCAGGATAGGAAAGATTTCTGTCTGTTGTTCATAGGGTTGATAAGAGTATTAGAGCAGGCTCAAAGACTCCTAACAACATCACCACAATACCTATGTTACGAAATGATATAGGAAAAAATAAGTGAATCACTAGCCTTACCTTCAACACATTTCCATTTTCTGAGATACTGAGGCCTGATTTTTTCAGCAAGGGACGCCCATCTTTTAACCAGGTCAGAGTAGGTGGGGGCACAGCATCACTCTCACACAGCAACTCTACAGCTTGGCTAATGAGGACAGAGATGTTCTGTTCTTCTCCCATTATGTTGGGCGGTACTAAATAAAAGAGGAGTTTACTCTCAGGATAAAGCAGGCTACCATACTGTTTATTTTTATTAGACATCAAGCTCTATAAACACAAAATAACCATATTGGCTCTTTAAAAGCAAAGTGTCATAATCATTCTAACATACTTTCTTTGCTATCAGTATCATCACTTGGTTCAGAATTAAATGTTAATAGTACATTAATGTATCCTTGTTGAATAGAAATAGTTCTTAAACTTCTCATTTAGATAATTATTAGGACTGGGAAGCTCTCTCAAAGTATGCATTTAAGAAATTTCTATAATTAGAAGTTCACTAACGTTTAAAAAAATGACAATTTATTCATGAAATATTTTGAAAATAACAATGATGTAAAAACAAATAAACTTTCAACATACATTTGTGGTTTTCGCAAAAGAAAGCAATTTCATAGCAGCTGTGGAGAAACAAACGAAGACATCTAATCCAGTTCTACTTCACAGTGTATCAAACATAAAGTGAGTGACAGATAACGGCTTGTTTAGGATAATATGACTGATGTTACCATGGCTAAGAGTTTTTGGGCTCGTAGTATAATATTCTTTTACATTCTCCTCATATTGTCTAGTAATTTTCTATGGAATGAAATAATGTTAAAGCAACAGCTTAATGAAGAATGAGCTAAATCAGTGGCCAGCTGAAAAACATACTTACAATTGCATAAAAGTAGATATTAGTTGAAATTTTAATGATACTGGAATTAGAATTCTCTGGCAATAAGATTTATCAGATGCTGAAATGTGTTCCTAGGGAAGTTTAAGGAATCTCCCCTCCTTTGGGTGTGTTAAAGAATAAACATTCAGACAGTTTAGGTGCAGTCCTGCCAAAATGAAAGGGTAGGCTCCATAACAGCTCAAGGACTCTTTCTAGCCTGTATAGTATAATTCAGAAAATACAAAGTGATGGTAAATCCATCACTATGGAAGGGCTGCTCTGAAAGAGCACAAAGAAAAACTTCCTTGACTATTTCTCACTAAATTTCATAATTCCTTAGGATCATGGGGAACATACTATTTGTAGAGAAGTTGCATTAAATTTTAACTGCACTCAAACAGATATTAAGGGACATAGAAAGAAATTCTTTGAATTAGAAATATTGATAGTGTCCATTCACATTGAAATTGGCTTGATATCATCACTGTAGTGAATATGATAATGAATAAACATACAATAAAATTAGACTTGTCTGTTGGTAGGTATCTTCAAGTTGACTATGACACATAGTGATTCTATAAACAATATATTTGAACCTTGCCTTACAGTGGGCCTTCCTCCTGATCTCTGATATGACTGAGCCCATTTCATAGTCACTGTGTCAATCCATCTTGTCGAGGGCTTCTTCTCTTTCTCTGACTCTACATATTTCTCAGATGTTTCTTTTTTCAAGGTCTGACCTCTCCTGATAATATGCTGAAGTATGTGAGATGAATTTTCACCATCATTGCTTCCACAGGCACCCTGGGTATACTTGTTCTCAGACAGAGTCATGCGTTCTTTTGGCAGTCCATGGGATAGTCCATACGCTTCACTACCACCATAATTCAAAACCATTGAAGATACTTTTGCAATCTTTATTCATTATCCAACTTTCAGGTGCATAGTAAGTAACTGAAAAATCCGTGGCTTAAAGCACTATAGTCTTTGAACCGGCATCATTGCTTTTTAGCACTTTGGAGAGTACTGTAGTAGATTTTCTTAATGATTTTTGGGTTTTTTCTATTGATTTATTGATTCCTGTTGCTTGAGTGTTGACTGTGGATATGAGAAAAAGAAAATGCTTGACAACTTCTATTTTTCTCCATCTATCACAATGCTATTTATTTGCTCAGAGGCGAAGATACTCGTTTTCTTGTTGTTGACAAGTAATCCATATTGAAGGCTAAAGTCTGTGATATTTTGTGCAGCAAATGTTTCAAGTCCTCTTCATTTTCTGAAAGCAAGATTATGTTACCTGTATGACACAGGTTGTTGATTAGTCTTCCTCCAATCCTGATGCCACATTCATATAGTCCAGGTTCTCGAGTAATTTGCTCAGCATAGAGATTGAATTCGTATGGAGAGAGGATACCACCCTGACACACACCTTTCCTGACTAAATCATGCAGTATTCCCTGGTTCTTTCCAAACAACTTCTACTTTGTCTATGCATAGATTTCAATCAGCACAGAGAAGTGTTCTATGATTTCCATTCTTTTCAATGTTACCCATAATTGATTAGCACCACTTTATTTCTAGAATGATAATATTTTGCTGCTCCTTTGTCTGTTACACAAGGAAAAATCACAAACTAAAAGGGCATTTCCACACACTGTTTCTCAGTTCAGTACTTGTGCTAAACCCAAAGGAAGAAATATCATGTTCAATGGCTTGGAACAGATCAATAGTGCATTTGTGCAGAAATGCATGACCATCTTTCTGCTAAATTTAATAGCACACAAGACATCTGGCTCTTGATAAGTTTAAAGTCATCTGTGCAGGAACAGAAAATATTTGGATAGTTTTTGATATATGACACATTAGGTAAAAAGATACACAGTCTGTTTGAGATTAAAATGACTGCAATACTAAACAATATAAGCACAATTAGTGCCACTTTCTAAAATATCATGGAAACAGATACATTCACAAGCCTTTTTCTTAGCCAGGAAGTTCTACACTGAACAGCTGATTTCACAGTTTGGAAATAATTTCAAGTAAAGTCTGGCCTCATTAGATAAAAATGTATCCTAACTGTATAAAAGTATGCTTATTTGAAATTATTTGCAGAATTGATGAACATGCGCTGTTTTTAGAAATGAAAGTCTGAAATAATTCAAGACAGTGGAATGCTAATTTATTTCCAAATATTTTCCCTCCAATTACTTTTCTTTACAGCGAGATGAGCTGAACTCACTTCAAAAGAAAACAAGATTTTTAGAACTGAGAGGAAAAAAATGCAAAACAATAGCATAGTTGTCTTTTAAAGAACCATAAAGTTAATGTAATTATAGCCAAGGATATATATTACTGAAACACATCTATTTTTTGTGTCCTGTCTTTCATTTCCAAGTTTTTGTTTAGTCTGAGAGAAGAACGAGGTTCTACCCTTTAAATCCTTAGCTTCCTTAGATCTTATCTCTATTTTAGTTTTGTGGTTATGTTACTTAAGAAGGAGTCTATCCTGGACCAATTTCTCATCCTGTGCTTTATACTTGTTAAATTTAATTACCTAAATAAAAATTGCCATAGGATTACACTTGTCAAGATGCTAGAGAATGTGTGATCGCTAAGAAAGTCCTCTGAACAGAAGGTTTTTATTCTTTTTAAAAAATTATCACAGGATTACAAAACTTTCAAAAACTCAACTGAATTTCTTCCAAGGAGAAAATCCTTCAATGAACTCCATTTTTATTTTTAAAAAAGGAATAAAAAACACCCCAAACTATTAAATCTATTCTCTTCTCTTCCTACTATCCCTAACTCATCAATATAATTCTGATAGGCATTTTTTGATAAAAAGAGCTAGCAGTTTGATTTTGTAAAGACTTCTTACAAGGAAATTACTGGGCAGTTATATTCTGTCTTAAAGGATTGCTATGAGTTAGAATCAACTTGATGACACACAACAATAGAATCCATTTAGGCACAAGTAATAATGTTACTACTATTACTGTTACTACTCCAGCAAAATACATAATATATATGAATATAATATCTAGATTGCAGAAGAAGAATTGATGCCTTTGAATTGTGAAGTTGGAGAAGAGTGATGACTATCCAATGACCTTCCAAAAGATCAAACAAATATGCCTAGGAGAAGGGGCAGCCAAAGTGTTCCTTGCAGGCAAAGGTGATGAAGTTTTATGGCACATACTTTGGGCAAATACATATATAATTTGTCTCATATACTTTAGCAGAGATCATTTCTTAGAGAGGGAGAGCATGCTTGGGAAGGTGGTGAAACAGTAAAGTAAAGGAAGAACTTTAGTCAGATGGATCGACACAGACTGTAGGAATCAGATTGAGGTTATTAGAAATTGTGAGGATAGCACTGGATAGGAAAGGTTTCAGCTCTGTTGTTTATAGGGTTGCTATCAGCCATATGTCATTTGATGTCACCTAACAACAACAATGATATAATATATAGACTAAAACACCTCCAAACTTAATCTCATTATTGTCACATTGGAACCAACTCATAGCTGACCCTTGACTGGACTTTTTAGGCTTTAATTGTATAGCAGGTGACAGCCCATTTTTACCTCCCAATGAGCTGTTTATGGATTTGAACTTACAGAGGAGTGGCCTATAGTCTTTGGGTTGACAGTGCAATTCCCTATGAACTAGGCCACCTTATAACACATGGAAATAGTATTCATCATAGAGAATCTACTGGCAATTAATTTCAGAATAAAAAGCTATTGTAAAATTATAATTATTTAATAGCTTTATACACACACACACACACACACACACACATATATATAGAGAGAGACACATATTTGAAACGCTAAAACTAAAACTTATTGCCATTGATAGAGTCAGAACTGACTCAGTTGATTCTTGAGTGAGTTTTGGGGGGCCGTAAGTAACAGGGATGAGGATGCCCGTTCCAAGTACAAATACAAATCCTCAAACATATTAATAGCTCACTATTTAACTTTTATGCCAGGAATAACTAAAAGGAATAGTGTAAAATAAATCTAGAAAATTATAAAGAACAGTGATACATATTTCTATAATTCCAGAAAAATCAACTTTCTATTATCTCATTTGGACATTAAACCAAAGAATAATGGAAAAATACAAACCCAGATTTTCGTTACTAAAACTCAGTCAATATCAATGTCACTTCTTTTAAGAGCTTACAGAAGCCATTGTGTTACATATTTAGATCTATTGGTGAAATGTTCTTTGAGGATATTTTATCTTGGCAGCCTTCTAGCTCTTCATAAAGCATACAAGTAACCCCATAGAAGAAAGTAATTAGAA